GGGAGCCGTGAAGTACACTGGATACGTCCGGTATAGCGCGGAACGTACGCCCTGGTACTCATCTAATATGCCCCGATTAACACCGTAACTCCACACGAAGATAAACTCCACAACCGGTCTTAGGAGATCGCTTACGCCTCACTCCCTACCCTCAACCCTACTAACCATATCAAGAGAGTGGTGACACAGGTAGTTCCTGGTATCCGAACCGTACCGCCCAGGTACGTCCGGCAGCCTCACCACTGGGGGAGCATACGGACGCCAGCTATGAGCTTACGACTCCTCCCCCGATGTCCTGCACAAGCCACGAGCAGTCCCCGATCCGTCAGCGCCATCAATGCGCAAACTCCATACATCAGGGGAGGCGCGGCGCCACCGCGCTCTGTATCTTCCTTCGCGGCCGGGAGAGCCTCTTCCGGGCGGTTTGCCAGCGGTCGCGTGCCACACGGCGAAGGAAGGAATTGTTTGCGGCGGTTCCCATCATACAATAACGAAACCAGGGTTCGAAGAAAAGCCATCAGATTCACCGTACAACGGATCTCCTGGCGACCGAGGAGAAATCACAGAGAGAATGCACGAGTACACGTATACACGTACAGTATGTGTTGATATTAGTCCTAAAGAAGTAAAGGAGTCAAGCCGGCTATGTAAGAATATGAAGTGTCAGTGCAATCAACAGATCTACACGTAATACTGATAATAAACACGTGACCCGTGACCGTGATTGCATAGTCGATTAGAACAAGGGGACCGTTGCAGGTGTTTTTTCAGAGAACTACACATCCAAGTGTGTTCAGAAATACATACCTAAATTAAAATGGTAGTTACTCGTTAACAAATAATATCTATTCTGCTACACATAAGTTGATAGAACCACATGCATTCTTTGTAACTGCCAATTCGTGTTGACCCAGCCCTCCTTGTTTCTGACAGCATATTTGTACATCTACACATCTACTTGTGCCTCATATATCGAATTGAGTGGCTATAATGCTCTACATAAATATGAAGTGTGTTCTCCTCTCAAAGAATATCTGATCATGGTGAGTGTGAAGCCTGAAAGGAAAGACGGCAATTGGAAGTAGTAGGGCAGAGACTGAGCAAGAAGCAAAAAAGCAACAGTCGATCACAGACGCAAACCTGCGGGCGCGTTTCACCAGCGTTATAATGTACAATATTATAATATAATATATAATTAATTATTATAATAGACCTAATGTAATATTATTAAACATTTATATTACATAATTGACCAATTATAATAAACTAATAATAATATTACATTATTATTTATTATAAATAAGGCACAAGTGCCCGCAGAGCGAGCAGCGCTCGCAAACTGCACGTGTACCTGTAGCCAGCGTAAATCCTTCTGATAAACTCACTGCACACCGAATCAAGTGCGCACAATCTCTGCACCGGACGCCAGCGTTCGCGCTCGAGAGACTCCATATATCCAGGATACTACACAACTAGCAGATGCTAAGAGAGCAATAAGCAGCCGGGGCCCGGGGCTTCTAAGAGTAGCAAGCAAGGCGGTTACAGGCGGGATCCTCTTTAGTAACGCAAACAATCTATGTAACCCTCCCGTCTGTGAGGGTCCAAACAGGTATCAGACCAACTTACTCTTTCCCGACGGCAGCAACCCGAACAGTCAACATCTCTCCATCGGTCCTTCAAATACAAGTGATCAAACCACGCTCCAGGTCACCCCGACTGAAACCAAACCAGTTTGCACTCAGGTCGTAGACCATTGTCCTCAAAACATGTCTGATATCTGACCTTGCTCCCGCACTGCCCCTTTGAGCCTGTTGACCGGAGGCGCGGAATTTCCGCGCTGGTCAGGATGGGTTTCCAGCAAACGTGCACGCCCATCAGCAGGCGGCGAATATAACATTGAATATTAAGAGCGTACTCGAGACCGTTGATATTTGTGCCCGCAATATTCCGTATTTCCTCCTAATGACCTTAAAAAGTTAAGGGGGAAATATTACCCCTCCATGACACATTCTTGACCCTTTGACGGCCCTTGACCCGGGCACGAGCCGCAAATTCGACATCGCCGAGTCCGTTTTTGCGATCAGCCCCCTGACGTCCCCGGAATACTAAGGACCAGTACGTGGACGGTTAAGGATTGTGCCAGAACTGTACACGGACGCGAACGGATGGACGACACGGACGAACGGCAGGAGACGGACGAACGGGACAATCATGCGATTCTACAAGCGCATCCGACTTCCGGTCAGCTGAGGCATAATATCATCAATATTACCATAACATATATATAATTACTGATCTATCGGATAAACATAATTACAACATTACATTATTAAAATAATAATTATAATAACATAAATAAAATAACATAAACGGAATGGCAAGTGAATAATAATACAATCTATAATATAAATCTAATATAGATAATATAGTGAATAATAAGTAATCAGATAATCATATAATATATAATAATATCAATACTAATATAATCTATTATCATTCACTCCCTGATAATAGTAATTACATGATAACGCGGCTAACGAGTATATAACGACGACGATCGACGACGGCCCCGCGACACGGCTCACTACAGCAACGATGAAGGCGGGAACGGCGAAACCTCCGGACACGATAAGACGCGAACGCTCGCGACGAGCAGCACCGCCGGCCATTGGCCGCCGACGACCTCTGGTGCGACCCCGCGGATCATGTACGGGCGTGCTCGAGCAGGGAAGCGGCCGCAGCCCAGCGCACGACGGAATGTACCCTGCAGACGCGTGAAACAGACACCAAGCTATGTAAGCTGTGCGAACGTGTGTCTACTGCATCTCTCTGTCCCCTCTTCTTTCCTTTCGGCTGTCGGGCATCTCTGCGTTCTCTCTCTCTCGCATCGCTCTATCTCCTTTCCTCTTCTCGGCCGTCTCTCTCTCTCTCTCTATATATATACTACTACATACACGTATGTATATATATATATATATATATATATATGTGAGATATATATATATATATGACTAATATGAGCGATAAACTTAATTTTTACATACAAATATAATAATTTAATATTATATTTTATTCAGCAACATGTGTGCTGAATAATTGTTGAGTTGATTGTTGATTGTTAATTGTTGAGATAATCTTGCTAATAATCTAGGTAGCAATCAGGTAAATTACAAATTTTTATTTCTTACTCTTTAATTTATTAAACTTTCATAACATTATAACAATATATATTATTTAATGTTTAATTCGATCTTTAATCAAATTTATAAGCATTTGCCCTTTATTGGCATACTTACTCGGCTATTGTGTATCCAACCGGAATTGCAACCAGGATAAACGAGAGCAGCAGCACAAGGTAGAAAAAGTCATTAGTTCGCGAAGCCTTGTATGGTTTCTGGTTTGGCACATAGTTACTGAGCAAAGTACCCTAAAACAACAACGCCCAATTAGAAACATCGTGGCTAAAAACTGAAAAATTTACAGGAGAAATGATAACCATAAAATGATGAACCAATAAAAATTTCATGCAATTCACACAAAAATCCGTGCAATGTCATGCAATTCAAACAAAAATTCCGTGCAAATCCCGTGGAAGTAATGGGTAAAATTAGAGGATGGATTTAACAGTGGAAGCTGTGACACAGGAACTGCGCGCGACTGTACCTTTTTCAGGTAGAAGAACAGGAAACATTTCACTACAGTGATGAGTGGCAGCACTGGACTGAAGAAACTACCAAGCCTGCAAACAGGACGACGATACGAATGTGCGTGAAATAAACGAAAAGACCGCTAATAATCTAGGTAGCAATCAGGTCAAATCAATTTAAAATTTAAATAACCGTAAATTAAAATTACACAAGGTCACAGATCTATCGTCACCACGCGATCAGGTAACTGCGGCAACCCAAATTAATTAAGATAATAATTAACGTTATAATAAATATTAACTAATAGTATTATAATTAATATTAATTACTTTAATCATGCAAGCGATAGTGAATGAGGTTGAATCACGAGCAGAGCTGTATATAATCACACATTATAACAGACATACAATACATATTACAAATATACATATTATAAACATCTCACCAGCAGAGTGTTTGCGTGTAGACGATGTCCAGTACATTCTTCGGCAGCACAAACTCCTGCTGACCAACAAACTTGGACAGCGTTGCGTTTGGAAATTTAGTGACCAAGATCCTGTGGGGCGAAACACGAAGAAATTCTACGCGATTTTATACGAAAAAAATTACATCCTGCGAGCGAAAATGGAGGATATTTTACGTGATTTTATATGGGCATATAAAGAATATATTATATATATGAATTAAAATATGATAATAATCATACGATAGTATAAATATAGAATATACGAGTATTCTATTAGATCCTGTAGAGATATTTTAATACAAAGTCGTCGCATTCGTTACGGTTGTTAGGATGCCTTGCTACGTAATCAGGGACTCACTGTCAGAAACGAAATTAGAAAATGAGTTTTAACATTAATTTTTCATATACACATCTATATCTATATGGTCACGTCGATCTGTTAATTACTCTTGACAAGTGAATTACTTAACGGTGTAAACTGGATCATATACTTTCATACATACATCAGCAGGCCCGTAGCCAGCTTTATATTGGGAGGGTTCGTTTTTCAATGTTGGCAATTTGATCGGCAGGGGCGTGTACAGGATTTGTACCTAAGCAGGGGGGGTCTATAACCGTAACCCAAAGTTGCGAACGATTTTTAAATATTAACCCCTCAGATGGCGATCCGGACTCCTTTACCCCGCCGTGTACACCCCTGCTCGCGCGCCGAAGCGAGCAACCGGGGGAGGGTTTGGAGGGGGTGTTTCCACTGTTCACCCACCCGCACGATGGAGATTTTGCAATTATTACACTAAAAATTGAGCGACGCTGGAGGAAATCTTGCAAATTTCTAAACAGAAATTTTTTTTGGCTAGGGGGGCCTTGGGGGTGGGGGGGTTTCGTTCCGAACCCGAACCCGAACGCCCCGCCTGGCTACAGAGGCCTGAGCATAATCTCGTTTGTACATAATCAGTACGATAACTCCGTAACTTCAACAATGTCTTTGTCATCAACGCGGTCAAGGACGAGATGATTATTTTAACTTTTCAAATATTAAGCTTTATTAACCGAACGTTTTCAGCGACATTACGACGAGCGGTGAAAACTGTAAGCTTCTACAACGTTTTGTGTCGCGCGGTCATCTCAAGACGTATGTGTTTAACTTTTAACTTTAAAAAACCTTATCGAACATCTCAGACGAATTTCACGACGAAATGAACGATTTTCGCGACATCGGCGACCGCGTCAAACACTAACGACGCCTGCGACCCTCGGACGCTCACTCGTCGCCGGGTTACTGCGAGGCAGGCATCTTATGGGGGGGGGGGGGGGGTGGGGGGAGTGGGGGGGGGGGGGGGGGGTGGGGGGGTGGTGGGGGGGGGTGTGGGTGGGGGGGGGGGGGGCGGTGGGGGGGTGGGGGCATGGGGGGGGGGGGCGGGTTGGCGGGGGGCGGTGGGAGGGCGGTTTGCCCCGTGACGACGAGGAAGGTCGAGGCATGGCAACGGAGAGCTGCTGCCCGACGTACGTCTCCCAGCACGGCAGGCCGGGGCACGGTGGTGCCGCCACGTCGCACGCGTCTCTCGCGCCGCGGCAGCGCACCTGCTGGTAGAGGCTGAACACGAGAACGCTGAGAGCGGCGAGTCGCACAAACACCTGCCTGTAAAACACACGGATGGTCCTACATATAGATCTCACATATATAGATCTAAGAGAGAGATCTATAGAGAGATCTAGATCTATAGAGAGATCTATAGATCTCTCTCTCTCTCTCTCTCCCTCTCCTCTTCTTCCCACCCTCTCCTTCTCTCTCTCGCCCTCTCTCATATAATATATATATATGTATTATATATTTATATATATATGAGACCTTTATGTATTATATATATATATTTATTTATTTATATGTATATTTGTACATATATTATATGTAGTACATTTCCATATCTAGTTCTATCAATATCTTCATCCTCCCTCGTCTTATTTGCTCCTGTCGCCTGTCCATCTTCTTTATCTCGCCTGCCCTGCCCCCTCTCTCTCTCTCTTCTCGTCTCTCTGCTCTTCGCTCTCTCTTTCTTCTGCTTCTCTCTCTCTCTCTCTCTCCTGACCTCCTCTCTCTCGCCTCGCTCTGGCTCTCGGCTCATCGCTCAATCTCTCTCTCTCTCTCTCTCGTCTCTACTCTCTCTGCTCTCTCTCCGTGACCTCTCTGCTCTCCCTCACGCTCTCTCTCCGATCTCTCTCTGACTCTCTCTCTACCGCCTCTCACTCGTCTTCCCACCCTCTCCTCTGTTCCCACCTCTCCCCTCTTCTTTCTCTCGTATTCCCCCTCCTCTCTCATTTTCTCCCTCCTCGCTCTCTTCCTTCTCGCTCTCTCTCTCTCCCTCCCTCTCCGCCTCTCACCTCCCTCTATCTCTCTCCTCTCTCTCTCTCCCTCTCTCCCTCGCATATCTCTTCTCTCTTCTCCCGCTCCCTCTCTCTCTCGCACCCCTCTCTCTGCTCATTTTCTGCCTCTCGCTCTCGTCTCTCCCTTCTCTGCCTCGTCTCTTCTCTCCTCACTCTCCTCTCTCCCCTCGCTCCTCTCGCTATTCTGCTCTCTCGCTTCCTGCTCTACACGAGACACGCGCTCTCAACGATCACGTGATGGCGGCATCTCAAACTCCGGTGAGTAGTCCTCGCACGATCGATGGTGCGAATTATCGTCGGGCACGACAACGCCTCACCGCGGTGATGTTACGAACGGCATGAACGCATCAGCAGCTACGCAGGTAGGGGAGTGCGTGTCGTCGCAGCCCGAAAACTGCAAGCAGGGCGCTGACGTAAATATCTGCTACGAGACTCAGATCATAGCGAAACAGGGATCGTGAGATCACGAGTGGATCACGTTAAAACATCATAAAAATCGTAGTAAGATAATAATCATTATATCATAACATGAGAAAGCATTTTAGCGCGCGCGCTAAATTAATCAAAATATAAGCAAGATAAAAATACTAATAGAAAACAATGTTTTATTCATTCGATAACTATAATCATAAATAATAATAACAATTTGTTTATAGCTATCCACAATGAAAAATTTTATGATCTAATTTAGTGATGCGATGTGTACTATCTATCACTAAATAGATCATAAATACCTTGTTCATTGTGATTAGCTCACACTCACTTCACGATTCGTCCGACTGCCCGTAGATTGCGTAACAGCAGCCCCAGCACGACGCACACTGCACACGTTCCGCTATCGCTCGGACTGCGTACATCTTGAACTTCTTGCAGGCCAGGTCTGCGCAAATTTGCCGTTGCATCGCCCTCCCTCCTGCGCAGCTCAGCCCTGTAACGTAACGATACAGGGGCCGCGTTGTCAGAGAACATCGTAAGTTAATGCTAATGTTTAATGTTAAGGTAACCTTAATGCTAATCGTTAAGGATACGAGAATAGATCGTTCTGAGAAAATCCTAAAAAGCAAAATAAAATCAAAAAAATCATGTGGCAGGATAGCAGGGTAGGCTGAAGGATAATTGAACTTTTTTGTAATGTAACATTGATTTGTTGTGAATTTTGTAGCCATATTTATTACAGTTATTTTCCGCGTTACTTACAAATATGAACTAAGCATATGACCGTGTAACATTAACGATGACCGAATTACCTGAACGCATGCTTCTAAGCGTCAAGAAAACACGATTGAATGATTAACGAATTAATGTGCAGAGAATATCAATTAGTAAAAACACCACGTCATTATTAGCAATTTAATTTCGAGATTAATGCCGTTTGAGCATTTCACTCACAGCACTTTCCCCCGCCCCACCCCACCACATTCAGTCTTTAGCACATTATCCATCTCATACATCAATATAATATAATATGTACTATCTTAATATAGTAAATAAAGAATATAATACAGTCACTCCCAGCATATAAAACGAATCCTTATACAAAAGTTTGACTAATCTGATCGGGTGACCCCTTTATTTCCAGTTAAAACTAATCGCGTTCTCGACGACGAGCTCTCCACCTCTATATTGTCTCTTACAACTTACTCTGCAGCGAAGCCGCCTTCTAAACTACCACCGCAGTTCCAAAGTAGAAGGTGTCCTGTGTACACGATTCGCCGCCCTTTCGTCACGCGATGGAGTAGTCCAGCCGTTATGCACTTCGCGCGTACATGAAAGAACTGATCACGTGCTACTAACGAGTCTCCCTGCAAGCCCTTTACCTGCCTGGGCAGATACAACAGCAAGCAGATCGAAATAGAACATATTAAGTATGGAAAGCAGATTCGCAGCGATCGGTGTTCATGTGAAGACGTGAACGCGTATCGAAATAGAACGATGTCAGTACTGTAAGATAATAGAACATGATCATAGAAGATAGATATAACATATCGAGTATCATAACGCTATTCGCACGATCAGTGTTCATGTGAAAACGTGTGATCTGTATCTTGAATAGAAAATATAGTCTAGGAACAAGTGTTCAACGATGCAGTCACGATTTCAGACAGAGAGAGAGGAGAGAACGGACGGAAGAGGATAGAGAGACGAGAGGGGAGGAGGGAGAGAGAGGCCGAGAGGATGGAGGAGGAGAGAGAGAGAGAGGACGTGAGGAAGGGAGAGAGCGAGAAACGATAGGATCGGAAAGAGGAGAACGGATGGATGAGGGAGGGAAACAGAAAGAGGGAGGCGAGGGAGAGAGAGAGAAGATAGAGAGACCAGAAGGCACAGAGGGAACAGAGAGACCAGAGCACGAGGGACAGAGGGACAGAGAGACAGAGAGACACGAGAGACAGAGAGACAGAGAGACAGAGGCACAGAGAGACGAGAGACAGAGAGACAAGAGACAGAGGAGCGAAAAGAGAAAAGAGAAGAGAAGAGAGAGGGCCAGGAGAAGAGAGGAGAGAGAAGGAGAGAGGAGGGAGAGAAAG